ATCAGAAGTGCTTTATCATACCCATCTATTGCACGCACGGGATGTTATTTTCTTTAACATACCGATTTCTGCCCCTGCCCTTCCTGGCGGCCCAACAGAGATAACCTGTTCAGGACCTGAATTTTATGGTCAGAGAGGGAAGACAAACAGGAGCGGGAAGAGTCCGCTCAAATCAAGTCAAGTCATTTTGTATAAAGGCTCTGGGACAGAGCCACTTTTTTATTTATTTTTTAAACATAATGTAGACCCGAATGAGTGTTAGTATTAATATTAATAATAATAACAGTGCAGAACTGTGAGCTTTGCGAGGTAATCCTTAAACATTGTTCMTTCCCAGAGAGTTTGGCCTTGGCTCCTGTCCAGCAGCACTCCTGGATCAACTTCCCCAGGGTCTTTGTTACTGCGAGACTTTTGACTTCTCAGCAACTGGAGCAGTCCTGTAAAATACTTGGATCATCCCAGAGGGTTAAAATAAGCTTGCGCTTAGCGTTCCCTGGGGACTTGGGCCCCTCTTCCTTTCCCAGGGTCTCCTTTCCGTCATATCCAACAGAACAACTGGGTGCGAGACTCTCGAGGCTTATCCTTGTCAACAGGAGGAAGGTGCTTTCAAAAGAAATTTAGTGCCACATCTCCCTCCAAGGCAGAAAAGGCCTCTTGGCCACGAGGATGGATGTCTGTGAGTATGTTTCCGGATGGTCTGTTTGAATCCCGCGCTCTGGGCTGATTTGGATCTGGCTCCAAAGAGCCTTTTTGCCAGCATAAATGTGAGCTTAGTTGAGCTTCGAATTCAATTCTGGCAAAAAGGGCGAATACAGCTTGATAGGACTTCATTCATCATATGTATATATGTGTATGTATATTTTTATATATAAATCTCAACATGTGTGTGTCTCATGTCAGTGTCAGCTATTGCATGGCAGGCGCTTCGTGTCCCTCTGAAGTCCTGCCAGCTCTTGTTTATCTCCGGTTTGCTTATTCTGAGTGAGTCCCATCTAGGCACCGTGGGCTGTGTGAGGTGGGCATCAATGTTGGGCGCATGACGTCCTGCTCTGCTSACCATTGCTTGAATCAACCCTCCTCTGCAAAAACTGGCTCATATGTTTGCTATCCACAGGTGGACGTGCTAAACACRTTCATAGGGAATAGCCCAGGCATGCAAAATTTTGGTTTATGCAGGTTAGGCTGCTGCAACCTTGATAAGAAAGCGTAGGTGAGAAAYATTTGCCTCTGCACAAGCCTTTTCTTTCCCTTTGCTATTTTTYAGCTTTGTGTTAATGAGCCTTAAAAAAAAATTACATATTGTTCCACTATCTTTTWGTTCACAGTCATGTTTTAAAAGCCGTCGCCGCTGCTGGTTCTCCACGTCCGCTTCTTTGCCAACATCGGCATTATCATGTTGAATGTCTACAATGCGGTGAAGCTAGGCCCTAGTACCATCTCCCTCTAACCCTCTTTGACCTTTCTAAGATCTAGGGCAGAAAGGGAAAGCATTTAATAAAGGTTTTGTTGTTTTGAGTTTTAAGTCTTGAACTCGTTCCTGCTTAATGTCTTCCATCAGTGAGTTCGGCGCACAGACCATCAGTCTGCTGCTGAAACTTGTGTGCAAGAGRAGGTCAGAAAACACTCTCCAGAGAGAGGAGGATACAAAAAAAGTCACGGTAAATTGGACCAAGCTACATTCAGGAGTGTAAATGCCAAACACACACACCCAGTGTTGGCAGAAAAGCTCTGAGAGGTCAAGGCTGCCAAGTGGAGAGGAGAAGCAACCCCTGCTCTGGTAGTGGGCTCCATGGGASTTCAACCTTACCAGCGTGGCCTTGCTTTGGGATAGATGGAGATGTCCTCTGGGGACATATCAACACTGACAATGCTGAGGAGTCCTTAGAAAGTAACGTATCATTTTTGATGTTTCATGTTGAAGGAAAGCACAAGCCTGGACATGTGTAGAGTGAGGCTCATGAGATCATGGGCAGCACCAGCAGCTTTCCTTACCAACCCGCTCAGCCTGGCAAGAGGCAGGGGTATCCAGTTTCCATCTATAAATAGGAGTAAGCCAACCGAGATGGAGAAGGAGGACTATTTAAATTTGTTTGTGACTCATCTTAATCTGGAAATAAGGCTTCGGTTCCTGACCGTCAACACAGACGCGCTCCAGACCAGCTTCTGGTGGGGCCAGCAGGGGCAGGAGCATTTCCAAGGTGGGAGCTTGACTGGGATGACAGGCTGGGGCGGGAGAGTCTGGAGCACAGTGATGCTTTCTATTCCTTTGACCTCYGCCAGCATGAGAGGTGGGATGCTCTCAAGTACCCGCGCTCCCTCTAGGCCCTCTGATTCCTGTTAGATTAACTACTGCATTTCGGCGAAAAATATTGATGCGGGGCAGGTTTCACTCTTGTGCTGGTGATACACGGGGCTGTGCGATGCTACCGTTGCAAAGATCAGGGTTTTGATTTTTTTGACAAGCAGTAGGAAGGCTAGGAATSATCTTAATATAATTCTCATGTGAATATACCACTTGTGTGTAAGTTTGGTACAACTGCTTATAATGTATAAATAGCTTCTCTGTTCTTTTTTTTTTYCCCCATATTCATTCTCCTTTGTCAGTAAAGATTATATGTACTTTATTTAGTGTGAGAATAGCTATAAGTGGCTGCAGTGTTGTTTTTATGTGGGCGGCAGCTAAAAATGAGATTTTTGACATGTTCTCCAATCTTACTATGCACGTGGTCTGTTTTATTTTTCTTTCCAGAGAAATACAACTTTAGAGGTGCTTGCAAACACTTAGGAAAAGTTCTCTACATTACTTTTTTTACTTTATGGATTTACCAAAAGAGCTACAAAATCCAGTTGAATCAACTCAATGCAACATACAAACTGTATTTTTGCTTAAGTTGGTTTCTGTATGCTGGTAAATGCTTAATATATGTATGCTGATAAAGTCTTAATCCAGAGCGAGTCGTCATCTTGGAAGCAGTACAGGCTGCAGGCCTAGGGCAGCAGAAATTGGAAACAACTGTGCAAGAAAGCGGGTTTAGTGAGAAAGCTTATTATTGAGAAGTGAAGGTGGGTGGCATTGCATGCCAAAGGTACCTTGTCAAAGAGCAGACAGGAGAAAGGGGAAAAAGAAAAGGAACAGAAAAATCCAGATGCTTTTTTTGTGATTCCAGCTCTAGGCAGTTTAGTATTCAGCCTGTCTCAAGAAAAAAAAAAAAAAAAAAAAAAAAAAAAAAAAAAAAAAAAAAAAAAAAAAGCCACATGATGCGGTCAAAACCTTCTTTCAGCCCCCGTTTTTCAGAAATGCTGCAATACATCTAACTTTGTTTCCTGTATGACCAGCGAGTTGTCTCAGAATCGGTGGCGTCTGGCTGGGGCACAGGCTATTCCTACATTAACCCCTCCTTAAAAATGCATCAGATGGATGCTGAGTTGTAGGCTCTGGCTTTATGGGCTTGCACTAACCCTCACCGCTATGAGAGAAGTAAAACTGAAAGCAGCCATGCAGTCCAGCTGCAGATGGGAGATGGATGTCTCAGCATGCAGGAATCCAGCGTTAGCTTAAATACTGTCTCATTAAGAACCATTTTATTGTGCTATTAATCTGTGCATAATTAATRGGCTGTTTTTCTTATGGCTTTTTGCATTTCACTGCTGCAGGTGAGATTTCCCTCTGTGTCTCTCTGCCGCTATCTGGCACCTAGGGCTTTTTCTTAGCATTTAAACAGGTCCCAAGTGCTGGAGCACTTGGGAAATAGGCTGGACCTGCAAGGCTTCCTAGAGGCTTCGGGCAACCTGGAAGCAGAAAAGGAGATTCTGTAGAATCACAGAATCGTTATGGTTGGAAAAGATCTTCAAGGCCATCGAGTGCAACCGTAAGCCCGTCACCACCACGGCTGCTAAACCATGTCCCTCAGTGCCTCGTTGACACGTTTCCTGAATGCTACCAGGGATGGTGACTCCACCACGTCCTTGGGCAGCCTGTTCTTGACTACCCTTTCTGTGTAGAAAATTTTCCTAATATCTAACCTGATTGCATGTATATACATGTTTACATATGGGTAGATTTCTACCCAGTTTCTCCAATCGCTCTGCTGTGCAGTCAGGTGCGTGTTTATTCTGCAGCCCCTTGGCCTGTGATGCCTCCTGAGGCATGTGAAACCCAAGAGGAAGCTCAAACCTTGCCTAACTATATAAAAAAAAGATACATAAATGAAAAACTGGAACGGTATTGMCTATTTTTTCCCTATTTCTGCCTTGTGTGCAGTGTTGCCTTRGTGTCTGGCAGGGACTCCTGGGCTGAGACTGTATCATGAACTCCCTGCCCAGCTTGAGGCTGGACCTCTGTGCATCCCTCAACTGAATTTATCTTTTTTTAAAAAAAAAATTAAGTTTTTTTTTTATTTTCTTTTTTTTAAGAAGAGCCTGCTGTGCACAATGCCCTTGGGGTGCACTGGGGTGTGTGGTGGGGTGCACGGGTGTGCTGAGCACAAGGATATGGGGCATAGTCCCGCACACCCATACCCTGCACTCCCGACTGCGTGGCTGTGTTGCGCACCGGGGAGCGCTCCCATTTCCCCCCMAAAAAAGTCCACAGGGGTCCCAAAGATCCCGGGTAGCTGGGGCAGCCCTTCCGCTCCCCTCCCTGCCTTTACAGTTTGCAGGTGGCAGGTTTGCAGTTTGCAGTTTTTTTGGGTAGAGAAGGGGGGGGAAAAAAAAAAAAAAAAGGAAAGAGAAAAAAGTGAGCGTGCGTTTCCCTGTTAAAAAATAATAAATAAATAAAATAAAGGAGGGGAAAAAAGAGAAGCGGTGCCGGCGGGGCGGGGCGGAGGGCGGAGCGCGGCGCGGGCGGAAGCGGCCCAAGAGCGGCGGGACGCGGGGCCGCCTCCCAGTCGCCGCTCCGGGCCCCGCGCCCCAGCACGCAGGGCCGCCGCCTGCTCCGGTAGCCGCCAGCGCCTCGGGGCTGCCGCTTCCCGCCGCCTTCCCGCGGCCGGGAGGCGCCGTGGGCAGGAGGGGGGATCGGGGCGCGACGCGACGGTGAGGGGCGCTCGGGGTGCGGGGGGGTCCCTGCTGGGATGGAGCGGAGGGGAGGTGCAAGGGGCGATGCTGGGGGAGGCTGCGCTTGCCTGGGGGCTCTTCCCTTGCAGGAGCTTCTGCTGCTGCTGCCGAAAATATAAATATATGCAAATATATAAATATTGATGCATGTATGTGTAAAGAAGAGGGAACGGAAAAAGAACAGGTTCTGTGCTGTTTCCTAGTATGACTAAGTCACTGTCACTTTCTGGGAGGCTGTTGGTAGCTTTAACTTGTCTTTGTCAACTCAAAAAAAAAAATGCACGAGTGCTTCGGTATTGGGATTTGGGTATTTTGGGAGTTGGAGGGGTTTTACCTGCATTTTGTATGTGCGCTGCTGCTGTTCCAGGGATGTAACCCACGGGCTCCAAGTCCTGGTCACCCGGTGGACTGGTGGGAGGAAATCTCCCTTAGGGGGGATGGGGAGAGCTGTTATTTTCCTAAAGGGGAGGGGAAAAAATCTGTAACTTATTAAAATGGTCTTTTTTTACAAGGAGTTTGGTGTCCGGTGTGCAGCACGATTAAATTAGTAATAGTTCTTGCTTCTTAGCAGACCTAGCAGGGATTTTAGGGAGGCTTTTACTTCCTTAGGGAGGCTGGAAAGGGGAAGAGAAGCAGGGCAAGTGCCAGTTTCCCTCTTTGGACATGGACGAGGCTTATATTTAAGGATGCCAGGGGGGCAGAGAGGCCCCCTTCCATCAGCACTGACGTCAAGGGGCTGGGAACTGCCCAGGTCCTGAAGCGTCTTCTCTTACCAGCCCTAAATTCCTCCTCCGAAAGTACATCTGGTTATCCCGCCTGGTGCCAGCGGCTCCGCTTTACCTGGGTGAATCCGTGCGAGTTTGGGTAAGGCTGCCTGGTTTGCAGACAAGCCCGGGCAGCCCCGTCTCCTCCTGGGAGCGAGGTGGATCCAGGGGCGGGTGTCACTTGGGAAGCACCTTTAAAAATGTGCAGTGCAAAACCGCATGTAGCAAAATGCAAAATTCAGAGGARGGGAGGAAAAAAAAAACAAAAAAAATCCCCAAATCCTAGGGCTAGGTTTTACCAGGAGCAGGTAAAACCGAGCTCTGCGGCGCCGGTGCTATTTGCAGCACACGCACTTCTGCTCCGGGACTGAAGTTCCCCCTTAAATGTCAGTGCAGCAGTGGGGCATGGCCGCGGTGTAGGCTTACAGCAGCGCGGGCGCGCGTTCCTTGCCCCGCTTYGGCCATATAAAAATAGAAGGTATCCACTACCTAAGATGTCATTGTAATGCTGCTTATCTGAGGCGAAACTGAAGCCCTTATCTTGGACGCCTGAGCAGCAATTAGGTGCACAGGCTGCCTTTTAAAGGTAACTTGTTGTGTGCAGGGAGGGAGAAGAGAGATGCTTGGGTATACACTTTATTTTTTTTTTTTCCCTTGCATTAACACTTCGTCATGAATTTAGTTTGAATTTGCAGCTTTCGTTTCAGGGTTGGTTTTAATTTCTGTTYTGGCTGTCGGATTGTTCTAGCAGTCTGAAATTACGCTGTAAAAATAATAGTAAAATCCTCTCGAGCCTTTTCTTCTGATTAATTTTGGAGTTGCGATACTTGGTTGTGATTTCGAAAGTGTCAAAGCATAATGCGTTTAGAAACAAGTCTTCAGCTGATGACACAGTGGCATGTGATACTCATTTCAGTAGAAATGAGTGCGCCGGTGTTCATCTTTTCCATACTTGGACTTACGGGACACTAGCGAATCATGCTTATCTCAGCATGGATGTTGTTTTTAAGAGGAGATTTAGTTTTTGYTCATAGTCAGAGGTAACTGTCAGGCATGTCTGTGCCTCTTGGGAAACCTGATTATTTCAGCACCAGAAACTGAAAAAGATCCTGTGTTGTCCTGTGCAACTGTGCAAACAGCCCTGGCTGGTTGCTCCTCGTTAAACTATAGAGGAAGACGGTAAATGCGAATAAAAGCATGGACTGTGACATCGTCCTAATGTTATATTTTGTCTGTTCGTATTGAGATTAAAGCCCTGCCTCTCTCCCGTAGGCACCGGTCGCGTGGAGCTGATCCGTGAGCACCATGAGCAGCTACAGCGTGTCCCTCGTGGGCCCGGCACCCTGGGGTTTCCGGCTGCAGGGCGGCAAGGACTTCAACATGCCGCTCTCCATCTCCAGGGTAAGCGCCTCGGCTCTCCCCTCTTCTCTCCCTGTCGCCAACATCTGCCTTCCCAGTAAAGAGAATTTTTTATTTTGCTGTCAGGCCAAGTTTCAGAGCCTTCCTGTGATGTCGGGAGCACTTTGCGTGACTCCCATATGGACCAGCTTTGCATTGTTGACTATATGGGATTGCTGGATGTCCCCAAGGTGGGGGTACGGGCTTCTGGTGGCTTTGCAGCCCGGCACCTTTAAATTTGGGTTGTGCCGGGGAAGTATTTATGTACGCATGACACCTTCTCCATTAGCAGCTTGGCCTCCCCCTCCTCCGTGTCAATGCAGTTTAGTGACAAAGATGAATTATTTTTTACACCTGTTGGGTCTGCAGAATCGATACCACGCCGGGAAAAGGAACGGGATGCTATTTGGGTGCGTGCGTCACGGCAGTATTTTTAGCTAATTTCAGACCCTGCTCCTGCATGAAGGTACCTGTGCGTGGCAGTGATGAAAAAGATGAAGTGATGAAAAAGTGGAAAAGATGGTGGTAAAATACAGTAAAGGGTGGCTTTTAGGAAACAGCAGTGCTTTTTTTTTGTAAGGGGTGCTGCTGTCTTGGGGAACGAGAGTTGAGCTGCTTTGTAAGCACATTTTATATCCAGGGGGCTCTGAAAAGGACACACAAAAGCCATATGCTGCAATTAGCCCAGACTACTACTGCTTTACCTCGTGAATTAACATCTGCTCTTCTATGTGCTCTTGCATGGAGAAGCTTAAAGGAAATAGCCGAAATAGCTGCATATAAAAGCCTGGGTTGTGGGATTCCCTAATGACACGTCGGTGCCTCCAAGAGCACAGCCAAGTGAAAGGCAGGCACTGCTGTGGTTTTAGGACCTTAATTTACAAGCAGGGACAAGGGAGGAGGCACAAATATCCAATTCACATGTTTATTCCGTAGCACAGCTCCTTTGAACTTCCTTTTTATTTGGACTTACGAGCATGCAAATATTAGACTTCCTGGTGCAGCTTTTTTTTTTTTTTTTTTTTTTTTTTTTTTTTTTTTTTTTTTTTTTTTTTTTTTTTTTTTTTTTTTTTTTTTTTCCCCTTTTCTTCTTTTTTGCGCCTTTGGGTCCTGAAAGTCCCTAGTTGCAGCCTGCCAGCCCCGCGTTGGTCCCATAGCTGGAAGAGCTCGGTGCCGCGTCCCTGGAATGCGAGAACAGTGTGTCCCGTCCACCCCCAGCCCGTCTCTTCCTGATGAGGCACGAATGCCTTCCTCTCTCCCAAGGCTGCTAATTAAATTAGTCTAGCACAGCAGTAATGAGGCAGCACAATTATGTGCTTTGGCAAAGGAGAGTTTATTGGTTTTTTTTTCCCCCTGCCTCTAGATGTTGGGGATGGGTCCGGTTGCTTTGCTGAGGGCTCATTTCCTGCTTTAGCCTAGTTTAAACTCCTGGAAATTAAGTTAAAGCACAGTTTATGAAGTGCAGAAGTGGTTTCTAAGACCTGAAAAGCTAATTCTGTTTTCTAAAGGTCTGGATGAATTAAGACCATGTATGGTAACTTGARGAAAGTTTTTGTTGTTGTTAACACTCATGCAGTTCTGCTTAGAAAGCAGCTTAAGCTACTGCTTCCCTCAGGCGAAACTGGTCGATTTTGGGTTCTTAGCTGAAGTTCTTCGTGTTGCTCAATGTTAAGGTGTGCCAGGTTGAAATCGGTGCGGAACTATTTGTAACATTTACCTTTGTAAAGCAGTMTATTGCAGACTGTATAATCAAGGGTAGAATTAAGTGGGTCACTCAGTACGGCTCTTGCGCTTTAAAATTGCTAAATATTCTTTGTATGCAAATATAACTATGCACATCTCCTATGTAAATAGAGATAATGCTGGGGTTAATCATTACAATTAGTGGCACAAATCTGTGTGCCAAAAAACATGTGTGCTGCGTGTGGCTGGGTACATTTGTGTGCAGTTAGGCTTCCGCCAGGTGTGCTGAAGGAATTAACCACTTASATTTGGCACTGTTGGAGGAACCTCCTTACGACCTCTGTTGTGGCGCTGTGCGGGCCAGAAATTGAGCACCCGGAAGATGATGCGTGGGGAATGGTTGGGGYGGAGGAGAGGAGGGTTAGCTTGACCTGACAGAGGTGTCGTGGCAAGCAGGAAGCCGCTTCCAAGGCGAGAAGCAGGGTCTTGGCCAGGTATGAAGGGCAGGCCAYTGTGGTAGACTCCCACCTTCCACCAGTGGCAACCACTCGAGTGACTTACATCACTACACTCAACTGTGTTGTGAGGGTCCCAAGTGCTTAAATCTGTAGTGGTGCTGGTTGAAGGAGAGATTGCAAAGTCTGGCCAGGTAGCCAGGTGAAGAAAGTGGGACTGGAGGGATGCAGACATAGGTTTGGTGGAGGTAGGATCAATTCATATGGATGAACTGATCATTCCTCAATCAACGTGGACCTCTAGATAGGCACTGTGTAGACCTAATGGACCTAATAGGCTCTTCCGTCTCGAGCTTCAAGTACCAGCCTCTCGAAGCTTTGTGGGAATGGAGGACCTGTCCCAACATGTTGGGTATTGTCACCACAGATTTTCATTACACCTCAGTTATTTCCATACAAAATATATTTGTTTCCAGGTTGCAGGGAGTTCTGCTAAAAACTTTGTCAAAAACATCAGTCTGGATGAAATTATTTGAAGTTGAATGATTATATTTTTAGTCATGAAGGGCAATGAAAAAGGATCTGCTACTGCTGATGTCCATGCAGATCCATGGCCTTGGTTAAATCTTGCTGCGGTGTTTGTGATGTGACCGSCTTGGGAATAACGATGGCTGATGCTGATTGGATTTATTTTTGCCTCTGGGATTTTTTGCACAAGGCTTGTTTCTTCCACTGGATGAAAATAGTGCAATTTTGGAGATGATGTAATCCAAAGGTACCATTAGGTAGGATTCCTAGAGTGGCTCTTGAGCATCTTAGATATGATATTTAATCTATTTGGGAGTTAGCAACATACCATAGAACATATTGTTGATATGCAGTTTAGTTCGTGTCATCTTAAGATTTTGCATTAATGTTATATGACCTTACATAGCAGGGGTTGCTGTTTCTCAGGGCTTTGCTAATGTAATCAGCTGTAGTATATCTTTCAGAATATATATTTGTCTTTCTTTTCCCATGGAAAACGTGTTGAAATGCTGTCATTTTGAAATGCTTGACTTGACAGCTCTATTTTTCTGCCTGCAACTTTTCTTCAGTGTTTTCACTGCATCATCTTCCTGCTTCTTTGCGCTTCTGCCTCCAGTCAGGTCTCATGCATGTATAAAAGAAGGCAGCGGGGACTGGGGAAATGAGGCACGTGAGACGAGAGAGAAACATTAGGACAACTGCTGGCTTGGCCAGCACTAATTGTGTTGGTAACTTTATGCTTCACGCTGGAAGCTCCTGTGAGCCACGAACTAAACACTAACAGACAGCTCCTGGCAGGGCTGTTGCTGCCGAGTTGTGAAGCACACAGTAGGAGTGCAGATACCTTCCATTGCCATAACCTGCATTTTTTACAGTTGAAATTGCAACATGTAGAGGAAAATGCTACTGCCCCTTGAAGACGTGTCAAACTAGGAGGTAGGCCAAGTTGGGAATACATAGTCATTTTGCTTCTCTTGAGGTTCATGAAGGGTATTTGCTGATAAAAGGTATTTTTCATGAAATGTAGGGAGACGATTGTAAGCGGGGCATAGAGTAGAAAGGGATTTTTTTTTCTTAGCAGATTGGAAGCTGTCAAAATTGCCTAAAAGGTAAATATCTAGACTTGCATGTGTTTATGTGAAGCTTCGGAACCGTGACAAGGTATTTTTATTAGAGGGCATAAAGTAGTAAGTAGTACCTGAGCAGAGGGTTTTGGAAATTTCTCTTGGGAGATAATTTTATTGCTGTTGGTGAGGTAGTTTAAAATAGTAAAATATGGCAGATTGAGTAGAAATTGAGACTGTCTCCAAAGTTATGAGATAAAACACGAACATCTTAAWAATGTCATCCTACCTCAGTTCTGTGTATTAGTCTTGTGTTGAAAATTCGCAAGAGGACTCTTTTCCCAGACTTTCCCTGCTGTGTTTTCCATCCCTGGTCCTTCTGCTGTGTAGTTTAAAGCAAGGCAGAGCATTGCTGAAGTGAGATCAGGAGGATATAGGGGAGAGGAGGCTGGAGAAACTTCTGTCTTGTCTGCTCTTATTCTCATTTGTCAGAAAACTCCCCAGATCAGTAGGAAGCTAATTTATTTAAAATTAAKCTTGAACTGATGTCATTTCCTCAAAAGTGAAGTTTGCCTTATTGGGGAAAAAAAGGAAGCAATGAGCTTGTATCTAAGAGACATGTGACCCGGTGTGTGACTGTATTCCTTTTACTTGGTAGAGTGCTTATGGTCATTATTTTTCCTTGCAATGAGCAATTCAGTTACACTACGATGCATGAAAGCTTAATATTTGACTATGGATACGTTTATATACAGCATGTACTTCTCCAAGATAGAGATAGTGAAAAAATAAATGCTGATTAGTTCTTAAGAGCAGATGCAGAACTGGCTGCCTCAGCAGAGGTCAAAAAGTGGGATTGCTGATTGAGTCGTAAGGGCCAGAAATGAGCTTTGTTTTCTTTTGTGAGCCTCTGACCTTGGAGACCTGACAAATTCTCTTGACTTCCTCAACCATTTTGAGGTACTATTTTTGGTGGAACTGTTTTTCTCATTATTCACTGGCCCGATGACTATCGGAGGGCATTGTGAGAAGAGAAGGGGAGTTGAAAGATCTTGATTTGTTTGTTTTTTTGGGATGGAGCCAGGAGATAACATTGTTGGCTTTTCTTCCATTTGTTTTGACAYTTTAAGAATAGGTTTCATATGTGATCAATATGAGGGGAAAAAGTGTGAGGGGAAACTGTGACATGTGTGAGTAAAACGGTGGGAAGTGGCTGAGTGTCCCAAACTCTGCCGGTCTGGCTGAAGYGTGGAGATGCGGTGTCCAAAGTGTG